GACAACATTGTCGTGTTATAAAGCTATTTTGGGCTCCGCTGTCCAGCAGTGCACGGACGCTTTGTTCGTTTCCACGCGAATCCCTAACCAAAATACGCGCCGTACCTAGTAACACGGTTGAAGGAGGTTGTGCTCCCATATTTGCCAATGAGCACAGAGCAACATCACCAGGTCGACCGCTAGAGTCGTTGACCTTAGTAGGGGTGAATTCCTTATCCGCCTTACTTGACGCCGCTATGTTGCTATTTTCAAAATGTAATAGCGTGTGATGTTTCCTGGCGCACTTGCTACATACGGAACTCGAATTGCATTTTGCAACTAAATGCTTATCGCTTAAGCAGTTCAAACATAGGTTGTTTGTCTTTACTAACTTATAACGTTCGCTTGGTGAATATTTACGAAAAGTCGCACAATTATATAAATTACCGTGTTTATCTTTACATACTATACAAGTATGCTGGAGTGATGTCGGCGTAGCGGTTACGTAAGTTAACGACCCTGCTATTTTAGATGGTTGAGTCTGTCTACGGTCGACGCACCTTTTAATCTCCTGTTTAACGTTCGGAGAGCGCTGCATCACCTTTATTTGATCTCGCACGAACGATGCTAATGAATGAAAGGAAGGCATCTCCGAGCTACGATGCTCCATTTCAAATGCACGCACGGTGTCGGAGTCTAATTTCTTTAATGCTATATGGAGAAACACCACGTCCATAAGGTCATTAAATTTCAAATTCTTAAGTGCAGCCACCGATGCCACAAATTTATCTAGAAACTGCTCTAAGCCGTTGATGTTCGCGGATGATATAGGTTTAAGATCGAATATCTGGTTCAAATATTCGGAAGCTAACATTCTCCTATCTTCATATTTAGTTTTAAGCGTTTCAAATATTAATAAGTAATTGTTTGCTGTAGGTGTAAAACCCGAGCAGATCGACTGTGCTCTGCCACTAAGTTTACTAATTAAGTAATATAATTTTTCAGCGTCCGATAACGATGGGTTGTTGTGTATATTGTTTTGAAAACTACTGAAGAAGAAGGGCCACGTCTTAATATCACCATTGAATACCGGAATATCTATCGGCGGTAACCTAATTGAGTCACGAGGGCGTACCTGTATTTCCGGCTTTGCTTCGCTTTGAGATTGTAGGAGTTTTGCAGTTCTTTTTACGCGACACAACATATCTTCGAATGCCAGCAGCGGTTGGTAGTTCACTATGTATTTCGGGTCGATTTGTAATTCCAAATGATTAATTTGGTCTAATATTCTTTCGTAATCTATCCGCAAAGTATCTATCGTTTCGATTTCATTTAAAAAGGCTTCCCGCACTGCCTCTATATTAATGTTCTTTATACAATCACTTATATTCTGCACACGCGAAAAGAGTATGTCCCTCTTGGCATAAAGCGTTTTAATTTTGATTTCACTTCCACTAACTGCCATTTTAAATTATTATAAAAGTTATATTAATCACAATTAATCTCACACGCATAAACGACGTAGGATGAACACTCGGCGTGCCGTATTACGTAATTAGATCGAACACCCGTTGCGGTCGAGTCTACGCGTCGTTTGCTAAACCTAATAATTTTATCAAAATTGTGGGGTAAGCGTATCAAACGGTTGCTATCACACCGTTTCAATTATTTAATAAGCTTTAAATTTAACCAAATACGAGCGCTATTAAATAAATAATTCTGTTTGCGAGTACCAAATCAAAATTTTAATTTAAACGAACACTATTTAAGTCTATTCCATAAATTAGAGTGCGTTATCTAAACAATTAATTTAATAATTCTACCAGAAAATGGTTGGATAACTACTAAATACCAATCCAGATCCTGCCGAAGTGACCATAAAATGGTGGAGCCACGTGTTTAAGGCTGCCGAAAATCTAGTTCCCCCGGTCAAACCTCAAACCTATTACGCGAGATATTAACTAAAGTGGACTCTATTTGCGATTGCTTCTACGTTTACGTAAAAGCGACTACTATAGCATGCGGTACAATGCACTCGCTCTTCCCTAAACTAAAACTATTACTTGCCAAATCGATGAAAGGAATCCTGCCTGATGAGGAGAACACAGAATTGGTGCGGTTAAAACAATTATTAAATATTAATCAGGCAGTAAATTAAGGAATATTGACTCACCGGGGTTCTTCTATCCTTTAGAGCACTATAGCGGTGACTTCCGGAACCTCCTCTGGACAGACACTCTGGGGCCCCAGGGGTGCGTCGGGAGAGAAGCGTTGTAGTTCAACGACGGCTGCGGCGGGAAGAGGAGCGCGCGTCGGTCGCGCGTGTCTTATATATCCTCGGCTCCGGTGATTACGCGATGTTCTAGAATCGTCTTCTTTCCCCTCCCACCCCATCACCCCGATGTGTCGATAGGAGGGTACGAATGATATCGTTTGGGAAAGGGAATAATGATTCAGCAAGTTCCTACCGTCAAAAATAAAAACGCGAAAGGTTTTCCGCGCAACCAGTCATATTAGAACAATTTAAAATTTTAAAATTAAAATATTTCGTAGCCGATAATATGCTGAGCAATAATACGGCAATCAGTACAACTTTTATGATTTGTGGAAAGCATCCATAATAATACAGTAGATAGGAGAAATATTAAGAAACGATTTTTCTACCTACTATACATTATGGAATCGAACTACAAACTTGTTAAATTAAAATGTGAAGATTATATTACTTTTTGGTAAAAATTTTGGGTAAGAATTAGGTCTCAAAGACATTTAAATTAAAAACTCAAAGATTTTAAGTTTATAACGCGGAGAAACCCCAAGCATAGCCCTCTTCATAGCTTCCTGAGCGATCTTCAGCGTACTTATATGGCCAGCAATGAGGAACCAGGTCTCAGATCCAAAATACATCACTGGCAACACAAATTGGTTATACAATCGTGCTTTCAAGTTTAGAGGTACGAGAATATGAACACTGCAAAGTCGAGTTGAATCCGTCAATTGATCTCTCGGTCGAATTTGGACTATTTGTACCAGGTAAATGTATTCGTCAACAACTTCGAGTTTAGTGCTTCCAAAAACTACCGGCATAGGTGTGGCATGGACATTACACATCATTTTTCATTTTAAGACCTATCTATTGGGGAACAATATTGAGGTCCTTCAGTAATCCCGCTGCATGAACTTGGAGATCAATCTGTTTAATTATGCTGTCAAATAAGCTGAAGACTGCAGCTTCATTTCACAGACATGAGATTAAGAGTGTAATCTGAGAGTTTTTGTGTTCTTCTGCGGCATGTCTTACAGTACTTAGCTCTGACCGCATGTAAAGTTTCTTCAAGCTTATCATACATATCATCCACTACATTGCAGTCTTCTAGGCACTGAAAACGGTTTTTCAACTCAGCTGAAAGGTTTCGGCACTTTGGATTAGATTAGGTTAGATTAGATTTGGATTTGGATTAGAACGAAGGGAACGGAGTATTGACTTCATTAGACGAGACCTCTCCAACTAAACGTTTAGATTCAGTGTGATTCTAAACATTCGGTGAGCAGTGATCATCTGGTCGTCATAATAAAGTCAATCCCATTTTTTTTTGTCGAACCGTCGGGGCTCATCTGGTCCACTTTTTTGGGTTCCACCTTCTGGATGAAAGAATTCTTCATAGGGATTCCTTCTTTCTTCATAAAGTCGGTCAGCTGCTGGCCCCTTAGGTTCCGTTGCCCAATTCAGAATTTTCCTACCTTCAGATCGCCGTTCTCTCTTGTGCCTAGTTTTGAGTTTAAGTCTCCCATTAACACCATATATTGGGTTTTGGAGAAATGCGTGGTTTTATAATTATTCTCATATATTGCCTCCACCTCCTCATTGGAGTGTGTCAAGGTTGGTGCGTAACCTGTATGGCCTTCAATGAAAACCCTTTGGCAATTCTGAGTACAAGATACGTAACCCTCGTCGACTGACTGACAATCTTTACAACGTTATTAACGAGAAACTTGAGGACAATAAATTTATAGAGCCATGCTGTAGCTATGCTGTAGCATATGGTTTTTAGCTATATTATTGGTATAGTTGTAGCACGAATGTTCGGCTCAACCGGGGAAGGACCACGCTCTCACAGAAAATCAGCGTAAAATAGCAGCTTAACGCTGCTGTGTTTATTATGGTGAGTGTAGAGAACCGGAGACCCTATTAAACTGAAAACGAGTCATTCAATGACAACGCATCTGCATTTGGATTCATAATCGATGATAGATGTAAATGTCTATGTGCCGCAGTAACTACTAACCATCAGGCGGACTGTGTGTTTTTTGTTACCCTTGTCCTATAGAAAACCTCCTTGGGACAAATGGTCATTGGTCACTCTTTTGATTATAGAACAAGTTGCTGGATTCGAGGATTACCGTAATATCGCTCTCTCTTCCGAACTCAGATAATCCTATAATATCCCAGCGTTACTTGTCTCTCTTCTTGCTAGGGTTCTGTACTCGGATAATTTCCGGGATCTTTTCATTGGTCCTCAGTGTGTGTGCGTTGTAGATTGCCAGGTCGAGTGGTCACAGGTGACAACAGGACCTCTACTATAGATTCTTGGCACCGTCTGCTCCACTATTACCATGGTTTCCACTGTACCTAGGAATAGTGGGGCCGCCAGGGATTGCGGGTCGTTTTTTCGTAACTTTCATCATGGGTGAATGTTTGCCATTGTTGCCATGCTTGGCGAGCGGGTCGGCCAAGGCAGCTTTTCATTATTATTAATTTAATAACAAAGTGAAATATCTATACTGGGTTACAATATGTTTTTTTTATATTGAATAAGGGTAGCAAACGATCAGACAATCCACATGATGCTAGCAGCGTTATAGTGCAAGTCACTGATTGCTATTGCCAATTCGCATGCCGAGGTTAATAATTTATTAAATCCTGTCTAAAACTATCATTGACCTGTTAATGGTACATATTTTCCCACTCGAGTACATGCATGCATAATGATTCAAATAAACCTAAAGTTACCTGTTCATACTTAGCCATGATATGCATTTGATGCCTGCGCAGTCTGTGGGAAGCTTCGGTGGTCAATACTGTCCTCAATTCTTTTTCTCAAGGCTGGGATGGCGCTACTTTTCGTAGTAGTGCGTCCATCCGTGGAAAGCTTGGCGCTAATAATACGGAAAACTGCCAGTGCAGTGCCAAAGAGATTGAGTCGGTGTCGCAAAGGTCCCGACTGGCTTCCAAATCGGTCACTAGCACTGGGTTTAGTGCCCTCATGAGAGCCCGATTTTACCAACTTAGTTGAATTAAGGGAAGTTACGATCAATTTTCGAGAGGTGTCTTGCGCGTTTCCGAAATCGCTTCTTCCAGAATGATCCTCATTAGATTTTGTATGTGGGATTACTGTGCAGTTGTGTGTGAGAAAGTGGTGCCGCATTTTCCAAACGCTTCACGGCCTTATAGTCTGAGTTCGGCGTCACCAAATATGTTGGAGCTGCAGGATATTCCAAACTCGGTCTGCCAGGCTTTGCTTAGTTACAGGAAGAGATGGTTTCAACTCTGGAAAAGGCATTGCATGCGAGCTCGATAAACCAACCTTCCAGTTTCTCCATCATTGCGTTTGCGTTCATTACTTTCGTCCAACGTACGCGATGTATTCCATTAACGGCAGGTACTACTTGCTAAGTTCAGAAAGACTCAGCCGACACCAAGCCCTCTTTTGAGAATATTGGACGCAGGGGACTGCTGGGTGGTCTTGCAGCCCCTCGCGCTCGGTTCTCGGTCCGCATTCCGTCGCTTCTGATGCCAGCTCCAGATGCACCCTAGCTACCTCTAGGTAGTGGCCCTTTGCGTGTTTTTTTCAAAATTCGTCAATAAATAAGAGACACTCAGGCTAAGCACAAACGAGCCTTTGGACACTCATTTCTGCCGAGTCATGGCGCTCACACCTCATTACAAGTCACGGACTACGGATGTCAAACTTCTTAGTTCCAACCGTGATCATGGGTGTTGTAAAGCACAAATACGAAACGTCGGAAATTAAGTCGAGTGGGCCTGACGACGTCCATCTTAATGAGCTGAAGTAGTGTGCTACGAAGTTGGCACCGACTTTAACATATCTTTTCCGTTACTCTTACTTCCTAGGCGTAGACCCGAAATCATGAAAGACAGCCTTCGTGCAACCGATCCATAAAAAAGGTATCCGCTCTGATCCGTCCAACTATAGGCCTATCGCCATCAACTCCTTGTTCTTTAAAATAATGGAATCTATTATTAACAGCCAGCTCTTGCGGTACCTTGAATATCACCAGCTGATTAGTGACCGCCAGTACGGTTTCCATCGCGGTCGCTCGGCTGTTAATCTTCTAGGATACCTAACTCATAAATGGGCTAAGGTAGTAGAATCCAAGAGGGAGGCGTTGGCCATTTGTTTGGACATAGCGAAGGCCTTCGATCGGATTTGACACAAAGCGCTTATTACGTTGCAATTGGATCACCAGTTTTCTTGCTGATCAGAGAACCATGGTCGTAATAGACGGTGCATGCTCCGACTACAAGCCCATTAACGCTGGAGTTCCACAAAGCTGCGTGCTTTCACCAACGCTGTTCCTTTTGCATATCAATGTCATGTTGCAAATCGTTAGCATTTATTGCTACGCAGACGACACCACTGGTGATGTTTTATACACCAGCCGTGCCAATATTTCTCGGGAAAACGTCGCCGAGTACCGGGACAAACTTGTATCTGAAGTCGAGATTTTGTTGAACAAAGTTTCGGACTTGGGGTGACTAAATTTAGTCCAGTTTAATCCCTAGAAGACATAAGTTTGAGCTTTTACCGCTAAAAAGAACCCCTTTGTCGTATCTCCCCAGTTTCAAGGCACTCCCTTATTGCCTCCACCAGTATTGGAATCCTCGGCGTCGACATATCGAGTGACGTGCAGTTTCGTGGTCACTTAGAAGTGAAGGCCAGATTGGCCTCCAAAAAGCTTGGCGTGCTCCGCAGAGCGGGACAGTAATTCATGCCGGCTCACCGCCTGCAACTTTACAAGGCGCTGTTTCGGCCACACATTAAATACCGTTCCCATCTCTGGGTCGGGGCTCACAGTGCCAGCTCCTTTCATTTGATCGCATCCAGCGCAGAGCAGTTCAAATTGTCGGTGACCGAGCTCCTTCCAATCGGCTTGACTCACTGGCACTATGAAGAGATGTTGCATCTCTTTGAGTATTTTATCGTATCTACCAAGGGGAGTGCTCTGAGGAATTGTTCGGACTAATTCCAGCCGCACATTTTCACCATTGCACATCGCGACAAAATTCGCGACACCATCCGTACCATCTGGATGGCTGGCTGTCCACCACTAAGTGATTTAAAAGATTTTTTCGGACCTATACGACTTAGGGACCTTCAAGAAAAGAGCCTATTCCTTTTTAAAATGCCGGCAACGCAACTGCAATCCCGCTGGTTTTGTAGCTGTTCATGGGGGCCGCCTTTCCTATAAAAAAATGTTGCAAACAAATTAGTTCCCAAAGTAGAAAATGACAAAGTTATCGAAAAATTAAACATAATATTTCAAAATTTGAAGAATCTCTGCTTTCTAGACGCGTATTAGACTTGATAGCAAAAACTAAGAAATTTCAGTAATACAAAAAAGTATAGTGGGATGGATATTTGAAATTTTTCGGTTAGGCATGTAAAGTTTTTCCTTTTCTTGTCTATCTCCAATCATTTCACACCTTACGCTAGTATGCCATCAACTAACTAAAATAAACCACATCCAACGGTTGCAGAGGATGAGTCAAATTAGGCAATAGGCAAACGGTTTATATATATCTATATATAAGCCAAATTCAATGCAAGTTGAATTTTTATATTTAATATATTTATATTAGTATATACACAATATAATAAAGCGAAAAAGACAAAACTCGCGATACCATACATATCATCTGAATGACTGACAGTCCACCACTGTGCGATTTAAAAGAAGTTTTCTATCTCGCACAACTTCCTTGTGGAATTTTTCCAGATACCAAAAAAGAAAACCAGAGATTTTTTCGGGCTGATACGACTTAAGGACCTTCAAGAAAAGAACCTACTCCTTTTTAAAAGGTCGGCAACTTAATCTGCAATTCCCCTGGTGTTGTAGTTGTTTATGGGCGGAGGTTATCACTTACCATCTGGTGAGCTGTATGCTAGTTTACCCTTTCTCCTTTAAAAAAACTATCTGTGTTTTTATCTAGTTTTCAGGATAAATGTTTCAAATCTTACTGCTCATACCTTTATAATACTTACTGCTTCAAATAATGTAGATATGGCTCCTTTTGATAACATTGTTTTTATTTTACTTTATATTTTATACTTGTCACGAAAATGTTTCCTGTAAATTGTTGCGTTTTTCTTTGAATTCCAATCAACCAGCCTAATGAAGCTCAAACATTTTATTTTCTAATTACTGAATCCAGAGGGAATTTGTTTGACAAATTACAAAATAAAATTACGTTTTTTAAACTCATATCCAACATTTATTTTGTTGATTCATTATGAAAATTCAATTGATTAAAACTATTTTTACAGATTTTATCGCATTCAATTTTAATTTTAATTATTTTAATTTTTAATTCCCGACGTTACGGGTGCTTTCCATGCCAGCCATGGTCACGGGGGACTGAGGTGACTGACGTCCCGATGTCATTGTTAAATGTCGGGAATTAAAAATAAAAATAATTAAAATTAAAATTAAACGCGATAAAATCCGTAAAAGTAGTTTTAATCAATGTGTAGTGTTCGCGTAAATATAAGAAATCATTATGAAAATTCGAGATAAATATCGACAATCATTTGCATGTAGTTGAGTTATTCCCTAGCGACGTACCCTAAAAATATTTTGTTTAAAAATGTATTCACCTCAACAATGAAAATTATCAACAACGTGACTTCACTGTTCTTTGCAAAATATCAAAATATTCTACTTTCTAAACTTATCATAACATAAATTTAAACCAAAAATAAAAGCGTTATGGCAGTGAGGACATCTTGATAATTTAAATGTGAAATGTGCAATCATCAGTTACTTGACTGAATTACTCGACTCCACCGAGTCAGTAATTCATTATTGGGGCAATGTATATGCTTTTACAACAAAATTCCAGAAAATATACAAAATTTTACCTGCAAAAAGTTCAAAAACATTATTAAACTAAGTTTGTACAAATAAGGTTATCATAGGAATTTATGAATCCTAATAATATCCCCCTGGGAAAGGAGATCGCTATCAAGCAATTTCTAATTTATTTTTTGTTATTAATTGTAACATACATGAAGGTAAGCTGTTATTTTTTTGAAATTGACGCTGGGATTATTATTGGTTCTTCACAGAACAGAGGTTTTCTTTTCTGAACCAGAGGTAAATTAAAGAAAAGGATCTTTCAATGTGTATTATTATAATCTATATTAAATAAAAAACGCTTCTGTTTCTCTTTCTGTTTCGGGATTATTTCATTATTTATGAACAAGAAACCATTTTGGAAAAAATAACTTACTTAACATAACCGCTATTATACCCTTAAAATTGCAAAATAACTAGTTATAAAACTATATAAACTATCTATTTGCTACCCTTTACAATTTTGCTATATTTTTACAAGGATTTTTTTTCTCCACCACACACAATAGCTGTTTATTAATATCTTAAGTCTATGTAAAATATATATTTTTCCCTATTGTTTGTTTTTTCAGTTTACTGATCCTCATAATATGTCATTTATTAATTGCCAATAATTATTGAGATAAAAAGAAGGAAACGTAAATAAAAATGATTTATATATAATATATATATATATAATATGTAGACTAGTGGAGCGACGAGCCTAAGGTTACCGAAGTCTAATTCCCCGGTCGAACCTTAAACCTATTACGCGAGATATTAACCAAAGTGGACTGTATATGCGAAATGCTTCTTCGTTTACCCAAAATGGCGACTATAGCACGCGGTTTCCCATACAATGCACTCGCTCTTCCCTTAAAACGAACTATTATTTGCCAAATCTATGAAAGGAATCCTGCGTGATTAGGAGAAAATAAATTGGAGCGGACACAATTATATCAAGCAGTAACTAGTAAGGAATATTCACTCACCGGGGTGTTGTTTCTATGCGGCTTGGGCACTATGTTGCTGCGACTTCTGGAAGACACTCTGGGTAGACTCTCTGGGGCCCCAGCCTTTCTTGTCCGGTGATACGTCGGGAGAGAGTGCGGTGCGCGACTATTTCTCACACGAGGTGAGGCGGGTTTCCTGGAGCTCGACTGCTTCCAGGCTAAAGCGGATATACTAACGGTGCGCGTGGGCAATAGCCCTTATGACACTATTGTCTTAAGCGGTGTGGTTCCAATGACGAGCGCGACGGGAAGAGAGTGCGCGTCGGCCGTGCGTGCCC